ACCATCCACTCAGGTCTTCCTCCCTCCTCACACCATTATCACCCCCCAGACACACACCTCACCGGCTAGCTGGGGCCCCTGGGGCTAGGGTGACGAGCTCTGAGATTAAACTGGGACCTGGAGGCAAGGCTGGGAGCTCTTGATAGATAGGTAGACACACCCGGGGAACTAAGGGGCGCGCCTACACACACACACACACACACACACTGTGGCCTCATTCATCAATCTCAAGACAATCGTCGTTCATAAAACATTAACCTTGTATATAACATCTAATAAATAAGTAGGAGCTAAATAACTAAATAAAATTAAGTTCTTGGCTTCGTAAATACACCCAGAAATGTCTCCATCGATAAATATGTTGTGCTACGTGATGGTACAGTAGTTACAACTAATATAAACGACAGGTACAGTAACTCCGATTAACAAGAAATATAGGTACATTAATTCTACCTATAGTCACTAGTATAGAGACCAGGTATAGTAATTCCAATTAGTGTGAAAATACAGGTAGAATTCTCGGGATACTTGGCAATATCTGGCATGGGTGTTTCGTCCTGGTGAGCCCCCAGTCCTAATAAGCCCCAATCATAATGGGATCCCTAACCTAACCTAATATAATCACCAGAAGTGAGACCCGTTAGAACTGGGTCCTGACCTTGATGGCTCTACGAGTCAAGAATAATACAAACGCAACAAGATCCTCCTCCCTGACCTACCATAACAAGCCTATGACCTGATGTAAACAAAGAGACTCAAGCATGGGTCACCAACAGCTGATTTATGACCACAGGTAAATAGGGTCACAAATAGGGTCAATGTGGGTATTTTTCCCCAGAAATTGTTTCAATTTACTGATACATCCTCCTAAAGATTCTATTATGTTCCTAACTTTAGACTGATTCTCCATTCCCATTTCTCACATAACATTACATACTTATCAATCAATTTCAGCTGTTTTAATACTACAAACGTTTAAACATCTATAATATTCAACTCTCAAGACTACATCAACATTGTAAAACACGTACGGTATTCCTTTATGTAAACTGAAGATGTATAATTATTGTAATATAATTCATATCAAATCCTCTATTACAAATATATTATCCCAAACATTGAAAAACATCAGCTATAATATTGTACTATTTTGTAGTTGCTGTAATGATGTAATATTTTATAGTTATGATTACATGAACTGTTTCTATCAGTCAATGGTGTTTGTAATTATCACTGTAATGTGTACCTATTTATTATTCCTTCATACAGTAGTTGTTTACTTGTTTACTGTATTTCTGGGTGTTGGTGTTGTCATTGTTATTGTTTTTTTTATTACTGTTCACTTGATTGTTTTTATCTTTATTATTATCATCACCATCATAATTACCATTGTTACGTGCTAGTATTATTACATGTAGTAGCAGGTCAAAAGTGTAACCCACAGCGACTGTCACGGTATTGTGACACAATCTATTGTTCCAACAGCAACAGTATAACGGTGTGTGTATATATACAACAGTGTATATACATATATTTGTGCATCCAGGATATACAGTGTGTGTGTGTGTGTGTGTGTGTGTGTGTGTGTGTGTGTGTGTGTGTATTTGTGCGTATCCTTGCAGGTGTGCTTATATGTACAAGCGTGCAGTAGGGTGGTCCAAATTATAGGGTGAAAATTTTAAAGTTGAGTGAACCAAGCGAGCACACGGTGCCCTCGTTGCACTTCAGGATGTTTAGGAGTCCCGCAAAACGTTTAGTTATTTTAGTCTCATAAAAATTCTAACAAACAGCCAATTTCCTTCTTGGGTAAAATTCCAGAGGGAGGTGTGAAGACCAGGGCACCTGGAGCCTTCCACCAAGCCAGATGGATGGCAAAGGCCATTTATGACCTTAAGATCTTCCTCTTCAGAGAGCAGTTCACCCTCACTGCTGACGAAATGCGTGCGGTGCGGAATCTCAGCCTCTTCATTTCTCTGTTCTACACCAGGTACTGGCATCAAGCAAGGCTCGCATCATACGCCCCCAAAAATGACTTGGATTTCGTGAAGGATCTTGAGAGCGGAATTCCGAATCGTCAGCTGGCGAACACTGCCCTCACAGCCTTCAAACGCCAGGAATTGACCAGTCTTGCATTCTTCGATGACCGGATTGGAGAAGAGGAGAAAGTTGCAATGGTGGAAAATCTCTAGAAGAGAGAGCGGAAGGGACTGAAGAGACCTGACGGCAAGAGATTCTCTCTTCAAACACCGCTTCCTGACTTCGTGACTGCCAAGACCAAGAACATCTTTGTCCTCATTCTCCCGAATGGTCGTCGGGAGTCGGAGTCCTTCCACGCCAAGCCACCTTCTTGTTGGAACGAAGATAAAACCTACTAACAATTCATTGCCTCCGTCGCTTCACTGAAGGTTGTGAACGACAGCGCCGAAAAGGGTATTGCTCTGATCACACAATTCAACTCATCCATCACCATGGATGAGACCCAGAAACAGTACCTCCTGAAAGTTGTAGCTCAGCACAGGAAGGATGTGCCCTCCATGTCAAAAGCTGTCTTCCTGAAATAAACTTACAATCTACAGACAACGATGCCTTTCCCTTTCCATGAGCTTATTTGAGATAACTGTGTAATTTTTTGTGGTGAACAGGAAGTTGAAGTCTTGCGGGACCCCTGACTATTGAGATAAGGAACTGAAATTTTGCCTGACGACATGTTTGGGGTAAAGGTATTAGGGCGACATGTGTCTAAATTATAATTCCAACTTGTATTTTTTGGACCACCCTAGTGTGCATCCGTGTAAACATTTCAGCGCGCGCGTGTGTGTATGGTCCGTGCGTGGGTGTGTTTCCCTGGACACTCAGCCACTCGTAGTATGATTGCAAATCCTGGTCTGAGCCTGCATGAACTTGTACATGTGGGAGTGTTGGCACGCTAGTGTGTGTGTGTGTGTGTTGGCGTCACTAACTTGGGCATGCAGACAGCCCTGGTCAGTGCAGGTGGGCGTGAGGTGGGATTAAGCGCAGGAGGAGGGGGGAGGAGTGTACATGGGTGTGGCAGTTGGCAGCGTTAACACAGTGGCTGCCGTGCTTTCTGTTCACTTTAAATAACACCAGCCTGTACACACGTCCTTCCTTCATCAGTTATCATGCTACATCATCACAGAAACATGTACAGGTCTAGGTACAATACACTACAATATGATAAATACAAACAGGGTAAAAGTACAGCATTACGTCACACCATCTCACCGCTGTACTTCTACTACGCAAGACAACAAACACAACAACATAATGATGAAACTCTACTCGTCATTGTTCCAGTACGACACCTACTTGTCACCAGGTGGCAGCACAACAAGTACAGTAAACACACTTGGATCTCATGGAGACTTCGACGCTCGCATAGAAAATGAGATTCTATCATCTTACCAACAGTAGCTCCTATCCACTCCTAACCTAACACGAAACAAATAATATAACAAGAAAATACAAGTTGTTGCCTCAGAGACAAGGAAACCAAATCGGGTTTGTTTGTCAAGATCAAATTAACACCGCCATAGTTTGTTTAAATATCACGGCGATTATATCTGGCGGTGTGAGACGGACGGACGGACAACCACCACCACCGACTGTCAATAAGTGTTGAGCCTCAAAACACAGTAAATCAATACCTGTTCCTGTGAATTTCTCCTGCGGGATCCAGTTCTGGGTGAGGATTCAGGCCGAGTCAGGTTACCCCGCCAGTGACCTTGTATCCCAACCTCGTCCAGGGCGTTGACCCGCTCAAAACACCCCCCACCCTTTCTCTTCCCCCCCCCACCCTTACTCTTGTCCCCCCCCCCCTCCTCCGCCTCTATTCTACCCCACCCTTAGTACCATCTCCTGCTGACCCACCACTACTACCAATACCATATGACCAACACACATTCACCACCCCTATAACAATATCCATCATCATCACTCACCACCACCACCACCATAACTATCATCACCCACCACCATTATTCATCACCAACACCCCGCACTACCACCAACACCTTCACCCATCACCACCACTATCAACCACCACAATAACAACACTCCATGAATCTCCAGTGACCCTGTTTGTTGGTGTTGTGAAGGAAGTGACCCCTCGCCCCGCTTAATAAGGCAATGTGCTCAATAAAACGTGTTCTTATTTAGGACCTTATTACACCGCGTTCACTCTAAATAAACTTGTACACTCGCTTTTAGTGCTACCTGACCTTCACTCACTCCAAGTTCAATGTTCGTTCACTCCAAGTTCAATGTTCGTTCACTTCAAGTTCCCACCAATGATACACTACGAGAGTCCGAGTGGGCCCCAGTCCTATTAGGCCCCGAAGAGAATAAATCAAACCTGCTGCAAAGTAGGATTGGGGCCTGTTAGGAATGGGCCCCAATCCTAATGGTTAGTTGGGGTAGGTTGGGGCCTATTAGGACTGGGGCCTATTTTACCCAGTCACCAAGATGAAAGAAGAATGAGGGAATGAAGGATGATGATGAATGGTGAGAAGAGGAGGTTGAGAAGAATGAAGGAGGGACAGAATGAGGGAGAAAAGAGAAGGAGAATGATGAAAGTGGAGAGGAGGAGAATGATGTTAGGGAGAGGAATGAAGGCGGAAGAGGCGGATAAAGATGAAAAGAAAATGGGGACGAGGAGAAGGGAAAAGGGGGAAAAGGAAAAGAAGAGTGGGGAGGAGGAAGAAGGGTGAAGGATATGGAGGAGAATGAGGGCGAGGTAGAGGAGGTGAAGAAGAAGAAGAAGAATGAGGGAGAGGGGAGAGGAAATAATGGGGGAAGAAGAGGTAAAGGAGGAAGAGGAAATAAAGTGGGGAGAGGAGGTAAAGGATGAAGAGAAAGAGAGAAAATAACATGTCAACAAAGGTGTAATATAAGACATAGAACAGACAGACAGACAGACAGACGGGGATAAATTAATATAAGAACAATTAAGTGCTGAGTAAGGAAGAAGGTTCAAGACTCACGTGGTGTCCTTCTGCAGGATGGAGGCGAGGGAGAGGGCGTTCATCCACTGCGCCATCTGGTCCTTGGTCTCGGCGGCGAAGTAGTAGGTGCGCATGTTCTGGTGCTCGGCCTTGAACGCATGCTTGCGGTACACCCGGTCCTCGGAGTCTACGGGGCTGATCTTGAACGATGGCAGCGGCAGCGAACCCAACACCTTGTCCTCCTCCGGCCCTGCAACCACAAGTAAACACAGTCAAGCTAAGTCAGGCAACACGGTCATAACAAACCTATCTCAGTGACCCAGATCCTCTACTGCAGGAAAGAGTATTGTATTACGGTCAAGGTGAGTAACATCTAGTTAATTTAGTGTCACACCTGAGTTGAGTAACATCAAGGTATAAACACAAAACATCCAGTGGAAAAACACATCAGAAAATCATTTATAAACAACCTGGCTATCGTAGGTCGTAAGTTGACACACTGAAGAACGTTGTTAGGTATGTGTGTGTGTGTGTGTGTGTGTGTGTGTGTGTGTGTGTGTGTGTGTGTGTGTGTGTCTCAGGTACTGTACATTAGAGGTGTATGTACAATTTAAGGTATGTATACATGGGACAAATAATGTATTCACGAGACAAATAAGGTATACATGAGACAATAATGTATACATGAGACACAAATAGTGTACGTAAATTTATCATCAAGTTTGTCCAATCAATAATCACTAATAAGTTTGTTCACTCTTATACTGTTTCTCTTAACGTGTATCTTCATTTATGCATTATTCCTTCCTTCTCCTCCCCACCATGCACCTTCTCCACCCCCCCACCTTACCGAGGAATCCTTCACCACCCCCCACCACCCCCTCCCCTCCAGCATCATTCCTCAGTGCATGACGTGGTCTTAAATGCCAACCAAACCTGCTTGTGGAACTCTTCGGCAGATGTTTCAATGGTTGCATCACAGCCCCTTAAGACACGACAGATTCGTCTGTGGATGCGTGAAGAGGTTACTGATTAATTGGGCCCCCTAGTCCTGATGGGCCCTAGTCCTGATGGGCCCCTAATCTCGATGTTTACGTTAGTTTAGGGGTTTATCAGGTTTTAATGCCACCCATGAGGTAGACTTCATACACAAGTTCGGTCTGGTCGCGGGAAGGTTCATACGTGATGGTTTTGTGGTGTGAATAGTGTGAGAGAAGTGTATGATTGTATGTTATATGTTAAGTACAGGTGACATAAAGGTGAAACTTGATGTATAAAAAACAAGAAAAGTAAAAGAAAAGGGAAAACAAGAATAGAGGTAAACAAACAAGACTGTGATATGTTTGACCCTGACCATCAATGACCTGACAATTAATCATCCTGACCTTGAACAATGAAGATAATTACACCAGTTTAATAACTAACTCCCACAGTCCAGCACAGCCATTTATAAGACCTAAGCGAGTCACAGAGGTGTTTACAGGTGTGTAATTTGAAGAGAGACAGGTACAGGTAGATGGGACTGTCACTCACCCGGACGTCCCTTCTTGACCATGTCGTGACTCAGGTGGCCACTTCGCCACCAGGTAGGTCCTCCTCACACTAGTTATTACTCCAACACACACTCCACCTTATCACACTTTCATCATCACCATCACTCGTTTCTTCATCCAATCATTACCTCAATTTTTTTTCCATTATTTTGAAGGTAATTATGGATGCACTTCCTCTATTATTCTAAACCACAACAATTATCAATTTTCTGCTCAGGTGTATTGAGGTCACACCAATGGGCTATTGAGAATTTACCGCTTGTTGACGTTTTCATAATTTAAACTATTTTCATAATAATAATAAAAAAAACACTCGTGGATGTAAAACAGAGCCTCTCAACTCCTCCCCTACACACGCGCCCCCCACGACACCACAACCACTACTAACAGCGACAAGAACCTCGGCAGAAGCGCACACACGCTACCACCGCCTGTCTTTCACTGACCCCATGCCTCTGATACTACCCCCAGCGTGCCCCCGCTGCTCCTCCCTCCCACACACGACACAAGATTACCTCCTTCCTCTTCACCTCTTAACACCACCACCACCACATCTACCTACCTGGATCATTGCACCGTCTTCCTAACCCGACACAACAATCAACTACTGTACACAAAAACAGCCTAAAGGAAAAAGGAGGTGTAAACACGAGTGAACGAAAGCCAGGGAGGAGCCGGGGGCAAAGTGTGTCACCGCTGGGTCAGTGACGACCTGCATACTTACTGTATGCCTCAAAACCCGACCTGCTTACACCCAGGCTCGCTACTACTACTGCTGCTGCTACACCTTCAACCTCAATTCGCTGGATATGAATTAATTTCAGTCACCAGCCATGAAATATACAGTAATTACTGAAACAATAAAATTAGCAGACGAGAGGCCTGAGAGAACAGGTCTTCCTCTCCGGTTTAGGCAGCATCTAATCCATAAGAACCGTTAGACCGAACGGTGTTGTATAAACAGACGGAGAAACTTCCTCTGTCCGCTGTAGTCATCTCTTACCTCTCCTCTATACACCCC